GGATGCTGAAAGCATTTCATGCTCTTGTTCGCTGGTTTTGGAAAGGTGGAGGTATAAGGCTACAGCCTGCAAGGGTAGAGGGGCAATGTGGCTTTGTCCATGTCAGCCCCCAGAGAGCTGTGCTATGGAAACTGGGTGACACAGCCTCATGCTGACAGGGCAGTGGCAAACGAAGGCAATTCCAAGTTTGTGGAACTGGAGCACTCGCTGCTTGTGCTGAAGTTGACCTGAATCTGTAGTGCCAGGTATGTGGGTATGGGTTGCTGTTGGAGGAGTCAGGCTGTAAGTGCTTTAATCACTTGCAGAGTAAAAAGGCAGTGGCACTTCATTTCTGACAAGAAACGATAATGAGCCTACTGTGGAGTAGAGACTGTGAGAAATTTGTGTTTCTGGCACAGTGCTGTCTTTAAAAATGCGTGTGTCACTGCTTTATTGTTATTGTAGAAAAATATGCATACAGAGAGGAGGCAAAAAGACAGCATCTCATCCATGGCTTGGAAAACTGCTGTTAAACCTGTACCTTAAACTGGCAGCAGAGGGGAGAGGCTCTGTTCTGCAGGTGTGAGTGGTTCAGGATGCAGTTTGCTGTTGGGTTTGGCAGCCCCTTGGCTTGGAGCACACTGGTGGGAAGAGCTGGGAACCCATGTAGTGCCTGGAGGTGCTCATGGAGAATGCCTTTCTTCAGCATCTCCCATCTGTCTGCTCCAGATAGATCCATCACCTCCTCTTCCTAGCTAAGAGGAGGACAGGACAATCCTGCCATGTAGCTTTTGTTTGCTTTCTAAATTCAGGCTTGATAATGTGAAAGTAGACAGATCTTTGGAACAATTGATCTGAGAGGTGCCCAAAATTCACACTAGTATAAAGGATGAAGTACATTACAAAGATCTCTGGATTTTTTTCTACTAATCTCAAGGAATGAAATTGCTTTGCAAACACCTTTTGCCAGAAGTTGATTCTCTCTTCAGAAATTCTCAGTCAGGGAAGGCTGGATTACAGACTTATCCCATATGCCACTGCTGCTTTTTAAGCATCTTGCATACTGAGAGGTTACAACATCAAAGAGAGGATGGCTGATGACTACTTCACTTTATCTTTATTAAGTTGGTAATTAAGGGCCAGAGTGTAGCAGAAATGATTTTTGAAAAGTCACTTCATCTTTATTTGGGGTTAATTGCATTAATGCTCGCAGCTTGACAGGCTTCTTACAAGACAAGAATTTAAAGAAAGTGCTAAGGAGATGTGAGTTAGGACTTCCTCAGAGCTGAAGCTGTAAGCAGTGAGCATGGAGGGGCTTGGCCTGCCCTGAGATCATCCCAGGATGTCAGGACTTGAGGATTTGAATTTGTTGAGTTGGAAGTAGAAGCAGATATCCATGCAGTGGCATGCCCGAAGCAGAAGTGGTTCTCAGGACTCTGCAAGGGCTGTCTCAATGGTTTCTTGGTCTTTTCTGCACCTTGCCTTTTGCTTTATAGAGGACTGAGCATTGGTTGCAGTCATCTTCATTTGAAGTAAGTGAACACAGGCTATGGACAAAAGCCATGATAAGGACTTAAAGCAATGGCTTGGGCAGACATCTGCTAGCCCTTATAATTATTTGGTACATCTGCACAATAATTCACCTTTTACTGCTGAAGGTGCAGAGACCAAAAAGGATCAAAGCCTTAATGTCATTACCTGCCACCAGGGTCTGGCTGTGTGTCCTCTTCTGTGTTTCTAATCAGTGGTCTGTATCTAGTGGGAATGCAACTTTGTAGATGTCAGAGGAAACTGATGCTTTTGTCCTGTGGCCTCTCAGGCAGATGAATTATGTATCCATGTGATCTTTGTATGAGGTACCTTGAAAAGAAAAGCAGTGATTCAGCTACCCTCATTCCATTCGTTGTGGCACAGAATGTAACGTGCAAGGAGGGCTGAGGATCCCTCTGAGATCTTTTCCTATTATGTTGGTGAACCTTTGTTCCCTTTTAGCATTTGTTATTCCAGGAATACAATCAATAATACAAAGAAAAGCATGAATCTGCTGCACATCACATTTTCTGCACATCCTGTTAGCAGTGTGCTCCTTAGATTCCTGTTCTATGGGCTCGTTCCTTACCAGAAATGAATGCCCTGTTGTTCATTTAGCTGCAGATCAAATAGATTTGTAATATCTCTCTACCTTGAGAGTGGTGCATACGTCTACAAAATCTTTTTCTGAGATAGCTATTTTTTCCCCATGAAGGTTTGATTTCTGTGACTTTTGAAAGCCATTTGGGCATCCTATTAGCTTTCCCATAGTGAATTTCCTGCGACCTTTATTCTCCTAAGGAACATGAATATCAGTTATATACTTCAAATTAAAACACCTGGAATCACATTCTGAAAGAAGTCCACAGAAGGCAAAGCCAATCTGAATGGATGCTTCATCAGTCCCAAATTAAATCAGTGTTTTGTGTTCTGAATTACACTCAACTCTTCTTTGTATTATCAACTCTGCTCCTTTGTGTGTTGGGGAGAGCACTGTGGCTGAGGTGGAACTGGCTGGGGCTGTCCCAGCAGCACAGAAGGTTGGAGGCACAAAGGGTAGCTGCCCCATATGCAAGTGCCATTTAAAAATACCATGGATTGTGCCACATTTAAAAAATACCTTGTGTTACATCAAAGGAGAAAATTCCCATCCTTTTTCCTTATTTAGGGGGAAAAGGCACAAAAGATGACAGAGTAGAGCAAGCCTTATAACTTTTCAGAGTGGCATGATTTGATTTTCCTGGCTTAGGATGAGGCCATTCCCTATGCTGTTTCCTTAACTATGAAGCTGCTTTGTTGGGTTTTTTTGGGGGTTTTTTTTTTTGGTTTTTTTTTTTTTTTTTTTGTCTAGAAATGGAACCCAAAAATGACAGAAACTTGGATTTTCTTTTTTAATCTGTGTTTAACTTTGGCGATGGCTTGACCACAATGTGCAGGTACCACGGGAGGTGCTCCCAACAGCTCTCTGAGCAGTGCTGTCCAGCTGCAATTACCCTCAGTTGCCTGGGGTAACTGCAGATGGTGGCAGTGGCCTCTCCCAGTGGAAAACAAAAACTTCTCATTTTGTACATCCATACTGATTTTCAAGTGCCCTAAACATAGAATATAGAGCAGTGATGAGTAACACCCAAGATTCAGGAAGCTCTCCTTGTGGCCACAGGCTGAGAGAACATTGAAAGGAGCAATGAAATTCTTGAGGTGCTGGATTTTAACTGTAGAGCCTGAGGTCTGTTATAACAAGTTCTGTCTCTGCCCTGGATGAGTGGAAACCTGCTACAGGCTCCAAGCCACTGTGCCCTGGGCCAGGCTGGATGAGCACCTCCTGGCTTGGCTTGGTGTGAGGCAGATTAGGTCCACTTTGCAGCATAGACCCCAACACAAAGCAACTTGGAGATATCTGAGCTCCTTTTCTCACCCTGGTGTGGAAGAATTGAGGAGAGATGTTGCTTCATAACAGCTTCAGATGTTTGAAATAGTTGTCATAGTCTTTCCCACATTGAGAGCACGTCTGAGATGTTTAAACTCCTTGAAGCTGCACAGACAACTGATACGAGCATCATAGGCAGAGCCACTCTTAGCTCGTTGTATGCACAAGGAAGAAGTGCAACGCTTGGTGACACGCAGGTCCAAAGCCTGTCTGAAACAGGCTGTCAGCAATCTGCAGAACTACTGTCAGACTCTCAACTAGGATACAAGCTGACTGTGCAACCATGGGTTCTTGCAGTATGAGGACTGACATGGAATAGAATAGGATTTGCAAATACTTTCCCTGTGTTAAGAGCACACAGGGTATCTTCCTCCCCTTGAAAGCATTTGGGCCAGAACAGCCATGACTGTGTAGAAGCTGTTTGAAGATGGTGCAACCCACTTGAAAATCAAATCGGGTCTTAAGTGACACTGAAGTCTGGTACCAAATAAGAGAGCCTCTTGGTTTCTCTGCTCATGGAGTGGGGATAACCACTGGGGTTGGGCTGTTTGGGCAACACCGCTGTGGTTCCTACTGTTACTGGGGTCTGAATGTCCTCAGATGTTGGGTGGGTTCTCACAGAATGAGTGGCATGTGCTTCCCCTCACTGCTGCCAAAGCATCTGTTCTTGAAGTGAATAGGAAGAAAACATTGCATGGATTTTGTCTAACAAAACGCAGCCATAATACTCAAAATGAGGGAGCTTCAGCTCTCCCATGCAGCCTTTACTCACTCCACTCCCACCCTGTTCGTTCATTTCATTGTGTGAGGCAGTGGGGTTGGTCTGGCTGGTGCTTTTACCAAAGTCTGCTCTTCGTGCAGTTCCATCAGTGAGGTGCTGACAGTTGCACACTGGGCCCCTCACAGCTCTGGTCCCAGAAATCTCTAGGAAACCTCAAATCCCATGAGTGGTCTTAAAAAGGTTAATTGCCTTTTGACTTCCACCCAGAGCTGCTCCCTTTGGCTTTTGCTAGGAAAGAGCTCACAAATGAGGGGTGCAGCATGCTGGCATTAACAGCTTCTGCCCCAGAAGGGTGGATTGCCTGGGGTTTGGTATAAGATTAAGCATCAAGGCTGTGTTCCCTCGTGGGCTGTTAGCTCTGTGTTTATTCTCCGTGCTCTGTGTGTGAAGTGTGCACGAGGAGCTTTGTTTTTCTCATGCAGCAAGCGCTGTGTCAACGGAGCTGTGAGTTGTGCAGGAGAGCAGCACTGTCTCTTTGGCAGGTGTTGAGCTTTCAGCCGGTACGAATGCAAACAGAGCTTCGTACTTCTGGCATCTTCTGCCACCCAAGCTGAGGAAATCGGTGCCTCCATTCTACAGGAGCTGCGCTGATCTATTTTTTCCCCTCCACTTGCTTTTCCCAAAGGTGCTTTTTAAAATAGGATTCCCAGGGAGAAAGCGCTGACAGCTCGGCTCCCCGCGTGGCAGATAACGAGGTGTCGGTGTGATCCTCCCGCTGGGTCCTCTCCTCGGAGCTGAGAGATGCGGACGAACGCACGGCGGATCTCGGAACAGGGCGGCAGCTCCATTAATCCCTTAACGGCGGTGGCGTATAAATGGGGTTGTTGTCAGGACACGTGGCAAAAGGGTTAAAATTTAATTAGAAAACCTGGTGGCAGCTCCCGGAGCTTAACGGAGATTTGTGTAAGCCGCTCGGACGGACAAGGCTGCTGTGTGAGCTGCTGGCGGAGCCGGGCTACTGCAGCCGCTGGCTCTGGGGGCACGCCTGGAGCCTGCCCAGGAAGCGCCGTGAAAGAGGAGTTTGTTGGGAGGTTGGACGCGGCTCTGTGCACGCCCTATAAAGCCAGCAAGCCGGCATGCCAGCGTGCTAAACACCGAGCCAGGCGGGACGCGGAGGTTCGCTGGACCCATGGCTTCGGTGCTGATGTGCGGGGTGGAGGATCTGCTGCTCGGGGGCAGCCGATGCGTCTGGACGCTGACGGTGACGGCGCTCCGGCGGTGGTACGCGGGGAGGCTGCGGGCGTGCCGGCAAGCGCTGCGGGCATGGTGCGGCCTCGGGGATGTCTACCAGGTAGGGGACACCTGCGGAGCTGCCAGCGGGGATGTGGGTGCGGGGCTCTGTTTGTCACAGCGGGATATTGGAGATAGCAGTTTGCGTTGCAGTGGCTCTGTCTGTGATAAATCTTGGTGTAAGTGTCGCTGGGATGTTTGTTTATGTTGGGTGTTTCTAAGCTGCTCCTTCTTTCTCTCTCTCTCTCTCTCTCTCTCTCTGCTGTTCTGTAGTGTGGGGAGCTACAGAGCTCCCAGCAAAACTGCCCTCCCTCTGCAATCATTAAAGCTTCTCTTGCACGTGGAAGCAGTGCTAAAGGGACATCTGTACCTGTGCAATCCCAAAGGGACCTGTTGCTGTTTAGCTGGAAGGCATGCCCAGGTTCAGGTGTGCCCAGCAGTGGGAGAGCAGCTATATAACTGATGGCTCTTACTGTGCTTGAAATTACCTTGGCATTGCATACGGATGAATATCATCTGAGTACATGGATTGTTTGGGAATGCACAGCCTGGCTGCTGTCCCTCCCTGCCCCTGCCTACTGACCTGTCCTGCCCCACCAGCACTGCTGGGCTGGCCAAGAACCCACTGACAGCAGATGGACTCAACTCTTCAGCTGCTGCTTGCTAGTGGCTGCCTCAAAGAGTAACGTTCTTTTGAAACAAAGTGGGACTGTATCTCTGTCTGATGTTACTGTGTTCTTGTGGCTTGGGGTAAGGATTAGTTTGTCCTTGCTCTCAAGTAGCATCTCTCCCTTGCTGCTATGAGGATGTGAAAATGGGCAAAATGAAGAGATGAGTGATGCTAGACAGTGCCTGTGCTGGGTGGGGACCTGGATGCTACCCATCACACTGGGCTGTGCCAGGTCCTCCCCACGATGGAACCGGACAGGGACAAAGCTGCTCTCACATCTTAATGTCAGGAATTTCCTAATGGTCATTTTGGGGTGAGTTAAACAGAGATGGCTGAAAGAATGCCCTGTGGCTCTTCCTTGGGTTGTGCAACACGCTGGTTTTTGTGCTCAACTCTTGGCCTTTTGCTGTTTGAAAACCCTGGTGGGATCCTCCTGATGCTGGTGGGGGAGCAGAGCGAGCACACAGCAGTTGGTGTCACAGCCTGGGTGGATGTCACAACCCTATAAGAGGCTGAGTAAATTATTTCAGGTTTTGATTTCATCTCCCAGGGACATGCATGGTTTATTTGTGCCCAGGCTGTGCAAGGGGAGTGCAGGTGGGGTGATGTTACAGGTCCTTGTGCTGCTGTGCAACCCTGAGGGCTGCAGCTCCCTTTCATCTGTGCTGGGGGGGTCACACTGCTTTGAGGGCCAGGGGCTGTTTTCAGATGAGGTGGCACTGAACAGATCTCTTCCCTGTTTTAATCACCACCATTGTGACAGAAGGAAAGCCAGCAGGGTTTCTTCTCGCTGGGCTGGGAAGTTTTCCTTAAATATTAAGTTGTCCTTTGATAAAATGCTTGCTAACCTGATGGGAGACCCAAACTGTGCTAAAAACATTTTCCCTTTCTCATTTCCACATCAGCTCACCTTCATCTTTTGAAGCTGCTAGGTGCCAGCGTTATCACGTGGGAGGAGACCCTTCTGCCTCCACTGCAATCCTCTCTGCCAGCATAAAGCCCTTACCTGCCTTAGTGACTTAGTCCAAAACCCAAGGACAGAGCAGCTTCTGTCCATCACCTTCCCTTTGAGCACAGTATAGGGAGCACTTAGCTGGTACTCACCATCTCTTGTCTCATGCACAGAGACAAGCCCAGAGGTGGGATGTTCTGTTTGACTATTGCCCTGGAGCCACAGTGCTGAGGAGCCTCCTGTTTCTCTCTGAAATAACCTCTGGACCTGTGCAAGAGGGAACCTGGCCTCTCTGAATTCTTTGGTTGCATGCCAGGGAGTACTGTCCACAGCCAGAGTATCTGAAAGCATGGAGAAAGCAGACTTGCAGAGAGGTGGTGGAAGAGCTGGCACAAAGATCTTCTTTGTGACTGCAGAGACAGTGTGAGTAATGCTGTTAGGGGAAAATTCTGAGGTGAGAGTCCAGCATAGAGGTCTTCATGCAACAGTACCTATATCCTATGAGAAGAGGGAAAGAGGTGGAGCTTGGAGCTGTATTTTGTTGTGCCAAGCTCATGTGCAGCTCTGACCTGGTAGTGTGGTATGGGGAGACCCTTCCCCAAGCCCCTTGTGCTGTGTGCAGCAGATATATTCAGTGCTGTAGTGTCCAGGTGCCTCCTCCAGAATGAAGAACTCGGCTGGGTTCTCCCCTTGCAAGTTTTTAGGCTGCCTGTCCTGAATCTAGTGAACAGAGAAATGAAACCAACTGATATGGTTTTATATCTGTGAGGTTGTTGAATGATGGCAAAGCTAAAAACAGCCCAACTCGCTTCTATAAATTACAAGTTGGTTGGTTGAGTTTTTTAGTGGTAGATGCTGTGCCTGTCAGTGTGTTCCTTGCAGGGTGTGGAAGAGAAACCAAGTAAAGCATTCTCAAACTGTGCAGACTATGAGGAGACGTGACGAATGCCTGCTGGATGGGAAGCTGGCAAGGAGGATGGAGGCATCCCTGAGCTCAGGCTATTCGGTTATGCTGGTAATTTGGCAAACACTTTTGGCTGCAGAATTGTAAATTGAAGTCATGTGGCTTTTGGGATGACGTACTTCTTAACCTCTGAAAGGTCACTTCCTCTGGGAGGAGGGAAAAAAATTGCAGACGCAGCACAGAAAATTAGCTTTATCCGTGTCTGCCCTGTACCTGCCTGGGTGGAGCAGAGAGGAAGCGGCTGGCTGCTGTTTCCTATGGTTCCAATGGGGGTGGTTTGGACAGCAAGGAGTGAGCTTCCTCTGCTGCCACACCTTCACTTTTCTTTATAAAACTGCTGACGACAAACTTGGAGGCTCCTTTTTTCTTTATCACTATTATAAGTCAATGGTTATGGGCGGGTGAGGGGCATGACTCCCTTGGCTCTGTACTGGGCAGAGCCCAGAAGAACCATCTCAGCCTTTCCACCAGCTCAGGGCTTTCTGAGGGAGCTCACAGGCCTTATTCAAGGATGCTGAATGTGCCTCTTTGAACATTAAATGGAAATGGGAATTAACCTCTGCTCTAAAAGAGCTTTGCTTTGCTTTCATGATCTGACCCAGTGCTGTGATGCCTCTTGTACCCCACTGGTGCAGTTCCACTGTGATTTCCCCATGGCTGTGGCTCACAGGAGCCTCTGCCTGGGAGTTAAGCTCGCTTTTACACGTTCAGTCTTCCAAAATCCACTTTCCAAATATTACTGCCAGGCATATTTCCACTTGAGCTCATGGTACAGGGTTTTCTCTTGGAGTTTGTTGAAACAAAAATATGATTTTTGTACCGCTCCTCCCTCTTCCTCGGCAGACAAACTCCATAGCCAGACTGAACTTCACCTCATTTCCTCCAGGGTGTCCCGGTGCCAGGTTCAAACAGTGCCTTCTATTCACTGCCTACCCTGGCCCATACGAATGTATTTGTGTTCAGTGTGACGTAGCTCACCCAATGCGTTGGATTTCAAATGTCGCCGGCGCCACTTTTCAAAACCCATCTCTTGCAGACGTATCACCACGTGAATGTTCTGGTATAAATCACCCTTACAGCCTTGTGCAGAGGCTGGCAGCTTGCTCTGGCTGAGCAAGAAGCTTACAAAAAGGCAACTTAAAAGTATGTCAGGCTCATGCTGCTTTTTCCACACTTCATTTCTGAGCGTTTAGCTTTCTGTCACTCCTGCTAGCATTGCCTCTGCACTTCTTGGCAAGCTTGTATGGACTGTCCATGTGCTTAAAATAACTCTGTGCTATCTCTGTCTCCTAATTTTAAGAAAATCAGGCCATCCTCATGCAGTCTGCATTGCTCTCAAAATCTCTGAGTCATAATTAGTGGTTAGTAATTCTTCTAATCTTCTGTGCAGATGGAGACCAGTTCGTTCTCAGAAGCTGCAAAGAGGATAAAGTTATCAGCACTAGAAAATATTAGCTTAAATGCCCTCCCACGCATACACACGTACACTTTTCCCTGCTAATGCTCTACCTTCCATCTAAATGTGCATCAGTTGTGCGTTTTGGGGTTGGAAAGGTAAGCTGCATGAGGGTCACTGAAACGCTGAGAATAGCCCAGATGTGTGCAGTTGTTTAGCTGTGTAAGGCCATCACTGGCAATGAAAGCAACACAAAATTTCAGGCTCTGTGTCTTCCTGGTGTAGAACATGGGCTGATGGGCAGGTGGTACATAAGAACATCATGCTGGTCCTTTGTGCAGGTAGCTGGCTTGTATGAGAGAGGAAGGCAGGAGGAGTGGCATTGGGGGAGCAAGTTGTAGGTGGGCAGCAAAACAAGAGCTGGAATCACTTTGGGGAGGTGGCTGCCCTGGGGACAGGTGTTGGGTGTAACACAGGTGTTGGGTATGGAGTTGTCTGGTGGGTGCTGGGCTGGCTGCAGCAGATCTGGGCGGGTTAAGAGTGTTAATGGGAAAGAAGCCCACTGGAGTCCTGTAGGGCAAGTGTGCTCAGAGCATCTAAGTGTGTTTACTAAGCCTTAGTGAAAGCGGGTAATTCCTCTCTAATGGCAAGCAAGTTGCATCTGCTCACTTCCAAAGGAGCTGGCGCAGAGAGATTGGGATGTGCTGTGCTGAATCAGATCACTAACTTAGTGTCTCCAGCTGCCGGAACCCTTTCCTAGTACACTGCCTTTCCTTTAAACCAACTTTTCCCACCTAGAAAAACTGCCTGTGGCTCAGAGCACAGCTGAGTTGTGCACTTCCATCTGTACTTGTAAGTTCCCAAGGAGCTGTGCTCTTCCCCTCTGCCTGTCCCTGTCGTTCCAGTGGAGCAGAGCCTGGCACCACCCAGGTAACCTTCACGTCATGTCTCTAAGGAAAAATGACTCACTCTATTTTCTAACTAGTTTGAGGCTTTAGATCCTGCATTTGGAGATGAACACAAGTTTGTGACTCTGAAATACTTTTGCAAAATTGCCTCAGCTGCCAGCCTTCAGTTTG